ATATTCGCTGATTTCTATTGTGATCATTCCAATCGGTGATTTTGACGCTCGTAGCGGCTTCAGGTAAGCGTCTGATTGCATCTCGGTGAACGTGGTCCATTCGGCGGTGCCAATCTTTCATTCTTCTCTTCAAGATGAGCGGTTTTTCTGACTTCTTGGTCGTCTGTATAGAAATCGCGTGTACGTGTAGATTCTCGCTCAATCCTTCCGGTTTCTCGATAATCCATAATCCTGTGGAATGATCCTCTAGTCGGAACATAACCTTGCCATTCCTTGTGATGCAATTACGGCCGAATTCCCATTCATATCCTGCTTGTTGGACCTTCCTGGCGCTCAAGATGTTGGTATGCAGACCGGGAACGTATGCCACATTCTTTAAAATGATCGTTTCTTCGCCTTTATCGCCTCCGGAGTTAGGACGAATCCTGACAGTTCCAGTGCCTAGGATCTTGATAATTGAATCGCCTGCTCGCAGATCTTCTACCGCATCCTCGTCCAGTGATTCAAATCGCGAAATATCGTTGCATACATGCGTGGACATTTCTAAGTCAAGAATAAAGCAGTTCTTCAGAGGTGAGATAATCCCTGCGTTAAATACAAGCGTCATTGTATGGAGGAGTTGAGGCGATTCGTCCTTCCAGTTCCGATCGATGTAGCCCCTGATTACTGCACCGAACTTGGTCTTTCGCGATGCTAAGTCTCTGATCTTCTTGATAATTGCTTCATCTGCTTTGAATGAAGCAGTCCTTTTCGATGGGTTGAAATATGCGCATTCCGCGAATCGATGGGTTTCTCCGCATATGCAATCCTGAAGACTTTTCTTTCGATTTTCACTCGATTTTCCGTCCGAATGGCCGTTTAATAAAGCCATTGCGAATTGGTCCTTTGATTCCTGATACTGCCGGCTCATAAGATAACTTTTATATTGTGCAAGCAGTTTATAAAATGTTTCGTCTTCGCGTTCCTCGTCATCCATTGCCTGCAACTGCAGATCACTGAATATGGATGATACAGGTCCAATCGCCTGCAAGAATACCTGTTTCACATGTCTATCCTGGCTTTTTGGAAGGCCTCGTTTCTTGATCGCTGCATACGCAAAGGTAAATTCATCCAATCAGGCCTCTATTCTGCCCTTTCTGAGAGATCTCTTGCTGACCGTATTGTATAACTTAAAGGCTCTATCGTCAAGGTATCTCTCGCTCGGCTTAAATTGCTTCTGCAGTGTCTTGATCATCTCTTCCTTCTTCATATCTTCAATTATCGGTTTTGCCCAGATCGGTATAGAGGATCGAATTGCTTTCTCCACCTTTGCTATAGCGTTCGTCTTATCCTTCCAATTCTGAAGCTGATATTGCCATTTCCTATAGGACTTATCGTCGAATTCAGTCAGGTCCTTAGGACGTTCTAACTCCTTTGAATATTTCTTTCGATCAGGATCGAAATGATCCCATATTGCGAGACGATATGCGTACGCCTTTATTTTCTTGATCCAATCACGCCAATTGTCCGGTCCGTTGAGGACAATTTTCATCTTCACAGCGCTATCCGTATCGATTCCGTTAGCCATGATCCATCAATTCGCTGGGATACTGCTCAGAGAGATCCTTATTGACGTATTCCTAGACCTAAAGGGTCACCGGGCTCATAACTGTAAAAGGGCGAAGGCTTGGCAAGCAGAATGACTAAGGATCCGGATAGATTGGACCACTAAAACGATTGAATGAAGCAATTGAATTGGCTATATTAAACGAGTAGATTGAAGGTGTTGAAGACCTCTTTTCTGGCTATCTAAGAGGTCTATTTATAATGCTAGAATCGCTCATTTTCACCGCTATTCTATAGCTTCATATTGCAATATTGCAGAATGCGCAATACCGCAATTTCGCAGCCGAGCAAGGCGATGATCGTCTTACCGCAACTGCTTAGTCAACTCCGCACTTCAACACCTTGTCACTGATCTCGCCAGCAGCACGTGATCTCTCAGCGACAGACAAAGCGCCAAACGTCTCGCGCCCCTTGAGCTGACGTTGATTCCATTTCCAAGGAACATATTTGGCCTATTCTGTATCGCACTTTGTGAACAATTGAGAGAAGAGACTCCATCAATTTACCTCCAAACATACCTTATCGAAACAAGTGCACTCAATGCTCGGTGAGAATGAAGCACGCGATGCACAAAACGGCCCCGGTGTAGTACGGCCACCCTCACTTTATTCGGTGAGTTCATGGGAAGTCCCCAAAGCCTCTCCACTCCCTCGCTGACCATTGAAATATGTTAGATTGTTGCCGATAGTGAGGAGCTTCAGCCAAGCCAAGCACAGCTGGACAAGGCATTAGGACAGAGAAGCTTATACTGGCGCCACATGGCTGCAGCTGCTGAAATCTACCATGAACAAGGTATAACGTCGCATTCTGTCAATCCTAATAACATACTTTGGAGAGTCCCCCGAATGCGTGGAAACCCGAGGGAAACTTACGCGGTCCCCCTTGGTACGCCCCAGAATGAAATGCTTTGTTTCTGCGCATCCACAAGCTGGGGTGTAGATGGGTCTACGGATTGTAGCTGTCTTCGAAAAGACAAGATGCATACCATACTTCTTCATATAGGGACCAAAATCCCTGTTCCGTTCACCCTAAACGGCGATGGGTTTCGTCACTGGGTCGGGACAAATGACGAGCGAGAGGTTGGACCAAACTATTTGGCAATCCTGGTATTAGGATGGTGCTACATCCTGTCAGCCCGGCTTGCCGAGTTACAGGGAGGAGGTGAGAGTATTCAATATACAGGGCAACAGCCGCATATGACGCGTGGGGAAATCGAACCCGACCCTGGAATTCATGTGATCAATATAGGTCAGGTTGACACCGACGTACTCTCCTGGTGGCTGGCAATCCTAGCGTCTGATCAAGGCTGGAGGGCTATCATCAAAAAGGGTCAAAGTGGTGACTTTCTTGCCCCGTGGTCAATGAAATATGTCGACAAGCAGCGGTTCTCTGTGAAGTGGGAACCAAGTGAAACAATTCAAAAACAATGCTTCAGACCTTTGTCTTCTAGCGAAGCATTTGCGGCCCTTGCGCATTTTGCACTTTTACACAACCTGGGAAGTCAATTCCTGGTAGCTCTTGCATCTGCGATTACGATACCAACACACAATTCCCATGGGTCGACTGTTCATCTACCGAGACCATCAGCGACAGGGGGTCAATGCTCAGCTAGTTCAACTGCAATCATTCCTTCAGAGTGGACCACGTTGCATGAAAACCTCGACTATTACATCACTCTGGGCTGCAACCCAGAGACTGTCATATCTTCACTCTGTGGCATGTTTTGGGAACCGGGTGTACCATGTAACCTGGTGAGCCCATGGTTGCATCCGATACTAACTGAAATGCCAGAGCATTTCAGGAGTTCTAGATCGCCGGACCGGTATGCGGAAATTCTCGCCATTATATGTGGCATCCGCCGACCTTCCATATCTGCCTTATGGTTGGGAGCTGTGATTAGCGGATTGACACCAATTATCCTTCTCCGGGCCCAGAAAGGCCGACCTCCACTTGACCCAGTCGCTTTCCCATGGACTGGTGCTCTGCAAAGCTTTATGGATGTCCCGGGTAAGGGGCCTTACTGCATCGGGGGATCGAAGACTGATATCTGGAGAGCCGATGTCTGGCGACTTCTCCATCTCCCTACCGACGATGAAGATGGCCTTTCATATAATTACCCCCCACGCACACCGTGGGAGCCTTGTGGGAAAATGCACACGAATAGCTGCGCTCTCAGAGTAGCTTCCCATCTGTTTTGCTCCCGACATCGGCTTTCTTATCAGCACTTGAACTGGGAAATCCAGGGCTGCCCGACGATTCATGACCGGGGACGCTCAGAAGTCAATCCCATACCGTCTGATGGGAATGGGAATCTCTTACCAATTTGGGAACAATGGCCCTTCCCCAATGCACCATTCTCCCAAGAAGCATCCGAACAAGCATCGTTGGAGGTATTTCGCTGGTTTGTTATTAACGGAGAAGGCTTTCCTTCAGAAGATATTTACAAAAGCGAATGGCTGGAACCTCTCCAGGATGACGAAGATAGTGATGAGGAGGTCGGCCATGAGGCAGATCACGAAAACGATACAGTTCCAGATACTCTGCAGACGGGCAAAAGGCATATTTGGAACAATGGCTAGATACAGTGGGATGAACCGACTGATTGGAGTTTGGTAGCAAAGTCGACATGCAAGCAGATGAGACGTCTACGCTTAACTAATATTATACAGACCTAAAACATCCAGCAGTCGTGCCGAATGAACGATATGATGGGTTATTTGCTGTGAGTAAACCGGAGGTTCAGGTTCGAGGAAGCAGCCCTTCCCGGGTGCTGATAAGCTTTCAAACACCAAGCGGCCGTCGGATGAGAACCAAACATGATATTTGGCTTTCTTTCTTGGGGCTTCTTGCCTCGTTGAATTGACGCCTCCTGTTGTTTCATGCATTACCTAGGGGAAGGTCAGCGATAAGTTCCCAGTGTCTGACATGCGCAGTGATAGGGTTATCATGCGCCAGACTACTCCAGAGATTTAGTCTGCAGCATTTGTGAAAGCGGGGTTAGTTGATATCCCGTTCACAACCCTCTCTAGAAAGATGATAAAATAGAAACAGAAACGTACATACAACAGCCTGGATTCGCCAATGGTCACCCGCCCAAATACTAGTCGGGTAGGTGCCGCCTTGGTGAGGATAGGGTGCGTGCGCAATGTGAGAATCCTGCGGACCTGGCACAGGCCACTCAGATAGGCTACTGCAATTCAGTTTTGAGCGTGGTCGCTGGAGTTGAAAAACTAACATGGCCATGCTAGGGGTATTTTGATTGGTTACCGTCTGGCGCGACGTTTCAAAGGAATGACCGACGTACTGGCTGTCCGAAACTCCAGATCAGGGCATATCGGCCATTTTAATATGTTTGTCGTCACGCGTAGAGCTCAAAGTTGAATGTCTGCATTGAATTAGGTTGGCTTCAACCAAGGATCCGCCAGTAATTCTTTCGCAGACGCTCGATCTTCTGGTTGCCATTGAAGCATCTTCCGCATGAAGCAGAGAAACAAACTCTGCTGTGTATCTCGCAGATTGTCTTCCAGCTTCTCTAGAGATATGGAGGGAATTTCGGCAGTGCCTATCCAGTTGGCTGAACTACTCGTCAGTTGCGTCCACACATGGTAAAAGCAAGAACAGATAACTTTACCGTCAGTATCAAAGAATTTCATGGCATATTCGCTTTTATGAAGCATTTTTTTTATTAATAGTGTGTAATTCATGTATTTTTTCGCGCGTAAGAATAAGCTCATTAAAGTATAATTTATGATCTTTAATAGACTTATTAAATTGCGTCTTTAGCGAAGATGAAGGGCTCTGTGTACGTTCACGTATACGCGTTTTAAGTAGCTGCATCACGGTAGATGCCTGCTTTTCAAGCTGCCTTGTTGTATAACGCGTTTTTGGAGCTCTATTAGTAGATCGACTACCTGATGGTGTAGGGGTTTTTAGCTGAATACTTAGCTGACTAAGCACTCTATCTGGATTGAATGAAACTAGACCAGTGTCTGCAAAGCTATTTCGAATAGTATCTGCTTGAAAAACGCGTTCACGAGCTTGTGGAAAGGCCTCTAAGAGATCAAACTTATCGATATGACTAATTCCTAAACGTGTCTGCTTCTTTACTAAGTTGCCGTACGCCCGCTTTAGAGATGAGAAGTAGCCAACATCTAAAGACTGTAATAGATGTGATGAATGTGCAAACATATAGATAGGAATAATGTTATTCTCACTGCATAACTAGTCAAATTAAGATATAAGATGGCTACCATAACCGTCAAGAATAAGGAATTGATATCATTCAATTGTACGGCCAGTACTGGGCGGAAGTCATCGCACTAAAGTTTGAACGGGCCTTTATTGAATGATGCTAACTCCTTTGTTAAATGACGTTCCTTGGCGAGTTTGCGGAAAAGGTATTAAGTAATAAATTTGCGCTAATAATTTTCGCTTGAATCGATTGCGTTATTACGCTGGTTTATGAGATGAGCGATGTGCAGTTCCGCTAAGGCTTTAAAGTATGAGGATGTGGTGTTGAATGCTATGATTGGTAGTTTCGACTAGAGTAAGGATTCTAACTGAATAAGCGTATTCATAGACATCGATAAAAGCCTACGTGTTATTTTCCCAGGTGAAATCGTTAACTTGATCTAGTAACCCTATCTGAGGTAGAAATGGTCGAGAAAGCTGAAGCAAAATACTTGCGACTTTTTTGTAAATAGCCTCCAATTTTGTCTGACTAATATCGGGGTTAAGCTTTCCACGACTTGTCCTTGAACACCCAGGCGTGTTAAGAGTATTATATATATTTGTATCGTGGTTAATATAGTCTATAATAATAAAGAGATCTAATTCTATAGGACTCTCCTTCTTTGACCCCCAATGATAAATAAAAGAAACCGGAATTGAAGTGATATAGTTATTATAATAAGGTTACCTGCAGGAAGGATAATCATGCGATTTACCTTTTATAATAGTTATTATATTAGGTATGAGGATTCTATCGCACTGCCCTTCAAGCAGCGACCTACCATGGTCATTAAAAAATATTGCGGATACTGCTAGATCAAGGTGCCAACGTCAACGCCGAAGCCGCATTTTACGGCACTGCCCTTCAAAACGCGATACGCCGAGGCAATGAAGAGACTGTACAGATGCTACTTAATCGAGGTGCCGATGTTAATGCCCAAGGTGGTCAATTTAAGTGTGCACTTACTGCGGCAGTACAGGGACGTAATGCCAGATTACTTCCGATACTGTTGGACCGAGGGTTGTATATAAGTGCTCGAAGTGAACAAGGTACTGTGCTTCACGACGCGTCGCTTGAAGGAGATAAAGAGACCGTGCAGAAGCTATTAGATCGAGATACAGATGCCAACGCCCAAGGAGGAGAATGTGGCACTGCCCTTCAAGCCGCGTCAACTGAAGGCAATCAAGAGATCGTGCAGATGCTACTAGATCGAGGGGCAGACACCAATGCCGAAGGAGAAGAACAGAGAAATGATTAATCGGCAAGGGAGGCAGTATATTCGAAGAAGATAAACCAAAGTCTAACAACCTGTTCTTTAAATATTATCCGGCAGAAGCTAAAGAAGAATATATGCAATCTCCAAAGCTACGGAACAGAGCGCATGACTACCAACCCCCAACATATAAGTAGCCGGTTGCCACCAGAGCTGCGGTATTCATGCCGCTATTAGACCCAGGACATCGCAATACTTATTCCCTCTCTCCTTGCTTGTTTTCTTTCCCTTAAAAAAAGAGCAGTATGACATGTGATAAATTACTGTCCTAGATTTCTACTTCAAAATTACCATAATTACAGACCACTTAAATCTGGCAATCCGCTGTTGGTTCCAGGCCTGCTTCGTAATATCGCACTCGGGTTATAGGAGCTATTATATTAAACCACTAATTTCCTTTCAACCACGCACACAAACCATGCGTCCTAATCGATAGCATCACCCATCCTAAAAATGATCGAAGAGAATAAAATATCTTTCTTTCTTCAATAATTTTACCTTTCGGATATGCAAGTTCTTGAGAAATACATTTCTGAAATATGTCGGCTTTTATCAAAAATATTAACTGTTATTTGAAAGTGGTACGCATCTATTAATTATTTCAGAATTTTAGAAAACTGAAAAGCTAGCAGTTCAACATGAATAACGACCCGGGCCTCTTACAGTGGCAGATATAATGATGAAATGCGTAGTAATTAGAATACTTAGTCAATTCGTAAAAATTCAGCTGTTACCTATAGAGGATCCCGTATATCAGGTTGAAACGTGGCCAGAGGATGGATACAGGCCAATCTTGTCCATGACTTCATTCACCTGCTCTATGTCTTCATCGGAATCAATTCAAACTGCACCAAGAATGGCTTCCACAGTAGTAGCCAACGTGCCCTCTGGTACACTCCTTTCTAGGTCTGGCCTTTGGTGGATAAATCTCTGCAAACCCAAGACTCTAGCTATAGAGGTTAACTGCTTGTTACAGGCGTAAGTCTTAAGCAGACCTGTCCCTTGCTCTGTGCATATTAGCTTGATACCCATTATGGAAGGAGTAGGCATACCTGTGGTGTTGCCTTCATGGTACCAACGACGAAGCAGCATAAGGTCGAGTATTTTGTCTCCTAGTAGGGCTAGCCGCTCATTTCCGGCAGATGCTAGTCCAGACTCTTCCAAAGCCTCATCCATCAATCCTTGGTCATGGAAATGATGCCCAATCACTTTCTCAAATTCTGGATTAAATTCTTGTTCCATAGTCTCAATATTGATTGTAATTTGTGACACTTGAAAGTTCACGACGGTTTTTTGAGGGTCATCGTTAACTATATAGAATTATTTAATAGGGTCTCCGTAATAATGACGTTAGTATTCGGTAGTCTTTTTCATACCATGGTTGTTGCTAACTATAACCATGCACGTATTTTGATATACAGGCAAATTTTACACAGGCGGTCTGAAAGGCGGTATTCCTGCCTTTATTCCATATGCGACTAGCTCATAACTTGGGAGGTAAGTTACAAGGAAGCGGAAGTATAACCGATTTCGAAATACTGTACCTGGTCTATACTGTAAATGTTGAGATCTGTTTCAATGGGGAGAGGATACTATAATATAAATCGTTGTAGAGGTCATCTACTCAGCGTCGCCACCTCAATAGAATATCCACGCTAAGGTCTTGGCAGCGGAACTAGAAAGAGTGTCTTAAGAGTGTGCTTGTTGCACCGGTTTCGCAACGTACTATATCTGCCAGGGACCACTTATGATAATTATTATTACCTCGTAGGGAGCAGTACGAACGTGCGAAAATTGATATCAAACCATTGCGACCAATTGAGGTGTTGTGGCTGTGATTATGTGCCGAGCGGGAACTAATCTCAGCCCGATGGCAATCCCGGCCGAAGAAATTACCGAACCTCTTTCCACAAACATGTAAAAAATATCATCAATTTTCAACAATTATAACTTTCGCCCAAAGATCCCAGCAACAAGAAAATATCGCAGGCGAGGTCTCGGCGCAGAAGAAAATGAATCAATTACAAACCCTGAATTCGCGATCGACGGAAAAAACAACGAACAAATAACGAATCAAAATGTCTGACAATATTTTAATAATTTCAATAAAACGCTCAAGCATCAGATCGAAATAATTAAAATAGTAAAGGCGGAGGCTCAAAAACTAAAAACCGAACAACAGCTCCTACGAATTCACAATAAAGAATTATAGAAAGAGATTTAGGCCCTACAAACTAAATTGAAAACACAATCGCTAAACATTTTCGAAAACAGATCTTGGACAGAAGTGGCCGCTAGTAACCATTTACTAAATCTCACGAAAACCGTCCCGCGTTCCAGAAAGAAATCCAACTATATCCAAATTAATACCGCATCAACTCTAGATCAAGATATTAATAACGACCGATTCTCGAGAGCTCTGCCTACTAAAGCAGCGAATACCTACATTAAGACCACCCTATTAAACGCAAAGACCACCAAAGAAGTGCAAGTAGCGGATATTAGTACTACTAAAACAGGATATATCATCTTCCAGGACACCCAGTCTACGGAGACAGCCCGGAACAGCCCACCGAGTAGCTAAAGGAGCTGGAAAACAAAGATGCTGAAATCAGCAAAATTACGCATTGAGCAGAAAGGCGGGATCCTACTGGTTATATCAGACGTAAAAGATTAGAAAATTAGCAGCCTCAGGAAGGCAGCAGAAGTTTTTAATATATCTCTTACCACACTACGCAATTGCCTTAAAGGAGCTTCCTTTAAAAGTAATACTAGAGAAAATATTCTTAAATTGGCTACTATTTAAGAGGAATCGCTTAAACGATGTATTCTATTGTTAGATAAGCATGGAGTGCACCCCCCCCCACAGCCGGCATACGTACGAGAAATGGCCAATATCCTGCTTCGATCCTGCTTTCGAAATAAGATACTAGCTCTCCTTCTATTACTGTAGGAGAAAAATGGATATACCCGTATCTGTATTTCTTCTGTTATCGATTAATTGACTTTTATTTTGTGAGGCATGTGGAATGAAGGCTATGATGTCAAAGTTTTTCTGTCCATTTCCGTTTGCGGAATATAGAATGAACGTCATGATATCGATGTTTTTTTTCTGTCCATTCCGTTTGCGGAATGTGTGTGTAGAAAATAAATCTCCAACAGTGTCAAAGCTGTAACTCAGATAAGGCCAAATAAAGTCCAGAGCCATTTTAGGCTCTAGACCAACATCTGACACCTCCACCGGTGATGGGCAACCCTGAAATACCTGATGATATATCCGAGATATCCGAAGTCTTGGAACTCCCTGACAATGCTCAAATTTCGGAAGCCGCCGAATTATCTAATTTTTCTGAAGAGTTTGAAATAATTGGCCGCATGTCTGAAACATCAGAGATGCCTGAATTATTGGGATTTCTTGATGACACTTAAATCCTCGAAACGGCTGATCACTAAACCGATGAGGAAACCGTCATGGATGATGACTCCTGTACATTACTGAACCTTTTCTCGGAGGCAGGTTCTCCTCAGCGATCTGTCTCAGCAGTCATCAAGCTCTTCGACAGAGCGACAAAGCAATGGTCCATAGCCCTGGCGATCTGCTTACACCAGCCGCCGTCCAATATTGCAGTGTGCCGAGGTCTGTTGTTCTGCATCTAAATTATCAGAGTCAAAGATGTTGAACGGTTAGTATGCTTTTTAAGGTACTAGGGGACGGGTACGTCCGGAAGATTCAATCTCTCGAATATAATCAATTTTCATTTCGATAAAGCTTTATCTCTATGCATTAGGAGAAAGTGCCTTGCAACCACCAAAACGTAACAAGGTGCATGCGGTGGATATATACTTCCAGAAATAGTGTTACTATCTACGCACACTCTAACCTGATGCCAAAGATACCTTAGGTCACCTTTACTAGGAGTCTACCTATATCACTGTCACACGATTTTTTCGTCAAAGACCGATGATATTCGCACTTTCCCGAGTGGTGTGCAAAGATTTGTTCAGCTGGAAAGCCTTCGCATCGGGTTGAAGTGGTTGAGTTTCTGATGCAGCGTGGTTGCGATGCCGGTAAACCCGACTCAGATGGAAACTCCTCACTTTTTCTATATGTGAAATCGTTTCACTTCAATATTTGAAAAAAACATATTTTTTTTACTCGTTCAAAAGGACGTTAATCCTTTATAAATTAATAAACACCAAGAGAGTCTAATACATCTTCTCATGCATTACAAAAAAGTAGATATTGAAATTCTCAAATTTCTGTTTTGCTATGATTTAGTTCCAACAGCGCAAGATATTGACAAAAAAACACTTATACATTATGGGGCAATTCATAATGTGTTTAATACAGAATTCTACAAGTTCCTTAGATCAAGAGATGTCTTAAACATTTATAACAAAGACTCATTTGACAAGACCCCTTTCAACTATATAAAAGAAAAGGCTCATCTCAAACATTCGAAAGATATACTCTCGTGTTTTTATAAAAAGCGGAAAAACTCTTTCCAAAATTTAAATGCAATGGCTCACCTATGTTTATGATTTATTCATTTGAATGTGCATTTTACGAGTATATATCTTATTTTTGTTTTTAGATCTTAATAATTCCAACACTTTCAAAAATCAAAAAGATATCGAATTAGACTTTGTATCTATATGAATCTATCATCTATATCTATACTTTATATATATCCAAAAATCTCATATTTGAAAATTAATCTATCATGTTTGTTTCTTCTTTACAAAATCGCTTATAGCTTATACCTTTTATAGAATTTATCTTATTGAAAGATTTTTCTCTAATAACTATTTCCGCTTTCAAATAACATAATTTGAATGAATCTCTATAATAAAATATATATCATAAAAGTGTCACCAAAGTTCTACAATGTCTTTATACTTTTTCTTTTAATAAAGCGGATGCGAGCACTACATTACTTCTTTTAATTAATAAGATTTTAGGTGATTGTCAATGTGATTTAAAAAAGTGACTTTAATTATTTATTGCTTAAACTATTTTAAAAGACCTCGCTTTTACTCTCTAAATAAAAGAGATAAAGACTAACTATCATAATTATATATTAGAATATTAAAATTTTACAATAAGGCTAAACAGTTTTCAAATGATTTTGATAATATTTCTTTTATTTGTTTACGTCAAAAACCATTTCAGCACAACAATAACAGAACTGCGCAAATTAATATTAAATATAGCGATAAGCACATTTATCATTTTTGTAACATTATTAATAAAATGCAACATTCAAATACTATTGTTGATATTACAAAATATGCTTTGCGCGATCTTGTATAGCAATATTATAAAGAATTAATATAAATTAATTTGATAACAATAAATGTTAAATTTTAACATGTTTCGTGAACAGATCGAGCATTAACCATTTTTAGATACTAATTTAGAATAATAAACAACTTTTTTTATCAATATATATAAAAAGATCATATCATGTAAGCATTATTTGCCCTTGTTATTGTTCATAAAAATCTCTTTAAAGAGATTGTCTTTAAAGCGAGATCTTTTGGGTATATATTTCTTATATATATTAAAGAGATAAGTTGTGTTACATTTTAAGAAATTCTTATTAATAATATATTTGTTATAAAAAGCTTCTCACGGTCTCACCATTAAACAACAAAAGTTGACTATTTAATTTCAAACTTTTTTGTTTTTCTGCTATAAAACTTACAACATTCTAGATCTAAATTCTTATATATTATAGACTAGTCTACAATTTATTTTGTTAATGTAGCAATCTACTTATTAAATGTTAAAATCTTAATGTCATTCTTGAATTTAGTTAAAGCAGCAATGTCAATGTACTAAAATACATTTAGATTTTAATAATAGATTATGCTTTGTTTCATATCTTGATATTCATAGTTAGATTCTAAATTATAGAATAGAGCTTGTACATCAAAAGACTTTAGTTGTGTCTGATACTTAAAATATGTATTATGATTTTGATGATTAAGTATTTGATTACGCGTAATTTTAAATACTTTAATTATAAAACAGTTAGCAGTCTCATATTATTAGCTAATATTAGAACCATATAATCAATCCTGTTTGCTACTTCACTTTTAATATCATAGATCCATAGGACATTCTTAAAATTATTTCGCTTAGCAAGTGCCGTATTATTATGATGTATAGCAGAAAATGTTAAATCCTTATTTAGCAAAGATCCTTTTAAATAATCATGCAAAAAAATAAAAGCTTTTTAATAAAATTTAACTATTATATGATTCATGATTCTCTTTCAATTAATAGTTGTTTTATTAGAAGGTTGTTGACAGAGAAAATGTCTTTAAATATATTGTTTGCGATATCATGCACAATTATCTAAAAAATAAAATTAAAGCTTAAAATAAGATGTTTTCAAAATCAATTTTTTGGTCTAATATAGTTCAA